AAGAGCGTGCAAACCAGCAGGACTATAGCCTTAATACTCTAAACCTTCTGGCAAACTTGGGAAATTGGCTAAATCACTTAAGGGTCAAACCTATGAAGCACACATCCTCCTGGGATCCAAGGCTGAGAGAAGTCTCCCACCTCTGGAACAAAGCTCTAAATCGCATTTGCCCCCTCCCCTTTGATCACTGCCTCTGCTGGACAGCTTGGCAAGTGCGGTCGCAGACAGTGGAAACAGGATGTAACATCCGAGGCATGGCAAGGAGCAAGCATGCAGCAGACCTGCCAGATGGGTGGACATCAATCTAGAGTGAAAAGAGGACTTCTGCTGGGACTTGTCCAGAAAGGGACAAAGAGATGGAAGTTTTACTGATGGAAGTTTTACTGTAGTGATGTATGAATCAATCCCATCCATCACTTGAAATTGCAAAGGCCAAAAATAATCTTCATTCTAAGGAGTTCAAAGTTAGAAATAAGCAAAAATATATAAAAATGCAACACAAAAAAGAACAGAGAAATGTTTTACTAATAGAAAAATCAACACATAACCAAGAGTAGAAAATCATCAAATAAGATGTGAATAAAATCCAAAAACTCAAAGCCACTGTATTTTGCACATGGTTATTTCTGTGTTACAGTTTATTAAAAACACTACACAGATCATCTCTGAAGAAGTCTAGACTCCTGGCGTTTCTCTACAGGAATTGGACAACACAAAATTCCCAACTCAGACACTTAAAAATAAAAATTAATGTAAGGTGCCAGAAGAAAATTCAAATTCTGTAACAGTATCATATTTGACTAAAGGGAAATATTACCTTTGGTCTCTTGAGTTACCAGTCTCCTTCGAGGAAGATGTTGGCAAGGACAGGCTTTTCTTTTTCTCATCACTTTTTTCCTCAGAAGCATCTATATTCAAAAGAAAAGAAATGGATGCTAAAGGGTTCAGAACTGGTCTTTATGCTACAACCCCGCATACACTAATCAATGTCTTAACACTACACAGAGTTGGCCTAAGGCAAGTTACTATTCTCCAAAAAGAATCATGAGAAAGAATGGCTTCCATGCTTTCCAACAGACCTTTTACTTGCCTCTAAGTCAAAACTAATTCAAACAAAAGCTTTCCCCACCAAACTAGAGAGCAATCACCTTCCCTGCCTAGGAGATAAGCTTCCTCACAAGACATGCCTCATCACAAAAGTTTCTTTCAGAGACACCCTGCCTGCTGAGTACAGATTAGATCAAGTTCTCTAAAGCACCACTAAAAGCAGCATTTCCAGCCAACACCACCTGAAGGGCCAGTGTGGGCTAGTCCTTCTGGGAATACAACTTCTAGTGTTTCCCAAGTGCTGTTGAAAGCCAATAGCACAACCCTGGAGAGGACTTTCATTACACCATAGAACAAGTTTGACCCAGAGGTAAACTGTCTCAGCTTAGCCAATACACATCAACCCTAATGTGGAAGTGACAGTCCCAGTCAGGACAGGAAAACAGTGCTTCTAACACCCATTTAGCCTATCAAGAAATGGGGAGCCCTGGGGTGCAGACTAGAGCCAGCTACACATTTCACTTCGCCTCAAACACCACGTCGCTCTTTATACACATATTATATATGTGTATACACATATACACATATATATTCTTTTTATACACAGCTGCCCAAAATATCTGTTTAAAAAATAAGGAGTGTGAATTTCACATTGGGGTATTTTGCCACTAGCATAGAGTGGGAGACACACAGTCTTGCTAGCAGGTAGAGCTGCCCTTCCTATCTTGGGGCTGCAGATGCCTTATTCTTTTATCATAAAGGTAACTACTAAAACCGTATTTGTAATCCCTCCGTCTGTAATTTTGACATTAGTCTGTGCTAGATCAGCATTAAGATTTCTCAGACAGAATTACAAGCTTCTGCTTATCAGCTTCCATCACCATGAAAGCCTCCCCAGCACGAAACAGTCCATGTGAATTCGTCTACAAGGTGTTAAAATAAGGTCCTTCTATAACTCATCACCCAAAATGCATTCCAGCATTTCTCTTTCCAAGTCGTTGCACAAGGTTGACAGCACACGCTGTATTAATGCCACATTGCACACAAGTGGGGGCAGAGGGTTCAGAGTGCAGATACTGTTTCTGCAAATAATGCTGCTAGTTATTATATGGACAGGTACACGTTAAGAATAGTCCTGAAGCTTTCAATGCTCTTTCAAGGATGAGCTAGCTAAACAGGAGCTAAATCTAGAGGAATGCATGGTAGGAGAGAAAACTTGAAAGACAGAGGGTGCAATTGTAAAGGCTGATTTGCTAGAATATTCTATTCAGATCAACAGATAAGCTCTCCTGATTTTTTGAAGACAGCTCCTTCACAAGCTGAATCTGACAGGAACATGCTGATTTTCTTACCTAGAAGTTTTTTCCAGGATTTGATGAGGGATTTGGCAAGCGATATCACTTCTTCATCTGTGCTCTGCTTTCTCAGTGCATTTACTGACATCCCAATGCGGGTGGACTGCAAGTGAACATTCAAATGAATCATTCAAGAACAAATTCGTTATTTGTTACTGACTGAAATCAGAAATAAGCATGAAGTCAAAGCAATGACAGAGATATGAAGTATCCAAGGAACTTGCAGAATTATTATCTCCTTACAACTTTGGAAGAACGAGATGACACTCTCCAGCTTACTCAAACCAATCAGAAGCTAGACATCCAATCACCCACAAATACCTTTACACACCTATAAGTGACATTCAGGCTTAGAATGAAAAAAATCCAAGATGCATATCTTAATCTCTGAATTGTAATTCTGTTCACACCTCCCCAGGGTCCTGAATATCACCATTACAAAGACTTAAATAACTTCTCCCATGACTGCCTTTTGTGTTTGCTACTTTAATCTGGTCTTTCCTCTTTTTGAAGCCTAAGAAAGGATTGGAGCAGTTACCCACACTTGCCTCATCAGCTGTGCACAAGTTTCAGGCAGCACATAGTGGCCCAGAGATATTTAACTGCCAGTGCAAAACCCAGGTTCAGTACTATTTTCTGGATTTAATGCTTATTTTGATGCTTTGAGTGAGGCAAGAAGTGAGAAGAAATCTATTAAGTTTATTTAGACAACATTTTGAATTCATCCAGATGCAGACTTCAGCTTTTTACACTAATTGTGCAACTCACCTGCAGTAAGTCCAAAGTCATAGGCATACTCTTCAGTTCTTTCAGTAAATCCATTGCACCATCCTGGAGAGGAAAAGAGAAACAGAATGAGTGCCTCAGCTTTTAGTAAAGAAATGCAACAGCTTGGGAATAAATTCAGAAAGTTGAATTCAAAAGGAAAAACACCAACAAGCCTTCACTAAAACATCAGCAAGATTACTGCTGGGATTGCTGTTCCGGACAGACAGTAGATCCCACAATCTGGAGGCACCTGAGACACTAGAATGGGCAAAACAGAAGAGCACTGGAGCACTACAGAGCTTTGCTGGTGTATGGTACAACTGCAGCTTTAGATTATTATCCTCACCTGGCAAGCTTAACATTTTTAACACCTGAAAAATACACTCTGAATCACTACTGTCCCCTCACCTCAGCACACTACTTGGCTTGCAGGAGTAATCCTACTATCAAAGACACTATTTTTGGGGCCCTGATTAATGATATTAGCTCACAAGAACAATTTAGCATAGTTGCAAGAACTTCAGTCACCCACCTAAAGCTCAGAATCACTGTCCAGAGCCAGAGCTAAAAGTAACCTCTTTTTACAGTATGAAACTTAATGTAGCGTTTCCTAGTTTTCATATTAATACCCCACTCTGCTCAGGACAGATACCACAAGCAAAGCCATCAAGCAGTGAAGCTGAAGAGCTGGTCACTTGAAACTCATTATATGAGGTTTCCTTGCATCAGCTCTGCATCCCAGAACCCAGATCCAGAAAAAAAAAATCTGACTAGGCAATCTGTAGGTACCTAAAATTGGTAGTCACTCCGAGAAATGGCAGGGACAGAAGCACTAGTCTCCCTGCAGCAGCATTCAGCAGATCACAGCCTGGAGTATGCCTGACTCCATTCAGCTGGTTCCTTCCTCCCATCCCCCTTCTATCAAACAAGGCCTTCTAGTGTTCACATTTAACAGCTCATTTAAAACACCAACCACTCCAAACCCATTTGCAGCACAAGACCTACAGAGCCTACGATTGTAGAGAAGCGAAGCAGCCTGCACTGACAGACCCTGTCCTCGGATCCCATCCTCCCAGTGCAGAAGGGCTGTTTCCGATTCATTGCAGGAAGCAATCCAGCTGCCAGTGCCACCCTACAGAACAGATGCTGAGAAAGCCAAATCAAAGCAGAGTCAAAGCTTTCAGCGTGCACACAAGCAATTCACACCAGCATAAACTACACATTACCATACCTAGAACGAGCGACTTCCCACTCAGGCAGTTTCACACCTTTCCGTTCCTCCAACAGCCAAACGGACTCCATTAAATCCAGCCCTTAATATACAAAATGACCGGGTGATATTCCATTATCAGAAATGGAGCCACTTGGCACAATGGCAGCAAATGGGGATCCATGCAAAAACTAGAGCAACAAACAGGTACTCCAGGCAACCGTCCTGCAGGAAGAGTTCGCAGATTAGCCAATATACAATAAACTCGCTACAGTTCAGCACCACATAAAATGCCAACCAAAAGGGAACATTGCATACCACTCATTTAAGAAGCTGCCTCTTTCTCAATGAAGCTTGGAAGCAAATTCTGCAAAGTTGCTCCTTTCTTATTTCAACAAAGGAGTTGAAAACCTGCCATCAACGGGAACAGACATCACAGGCTGCGGTTTAGCCCAAACACACTTCCCCAGGTTGTTACAACAGCTACACAAGTGCCAGCGATCACCCCTATCCACAGCTGGCAGAGCCGGTCCAGCATCCAAGAGTTCATGTGACAACTGCACCCAGCATCCCATCATCCACACACCACATTCCCCCAACCCCTTCCCCTCCTCACCCATCACCTCCCGCTCCCCACAGCCCTCACCAGCCCCAAAAGCCCTCTCCCCCACCCCAAACACAGATGTACAGCCCACCTCCGTCACAAACCCTTGTCACCCAGCTTGCTGCCTTAGCACTTGCGTGACACTGTACTCATACGAGCACTAACTGACATATCCCATTAGGCAGGGAAATACTTGCTGCTGTCCCCCTAGGCAGTCACAACACACCCTGTGAGACCCCCAGTGTGCAGACAGCCACAAGGCCAGCCCTCCACACTCCAAAGGCCACTGAGAGTGAGCAGAAGTGGTGCTTGCACGGGACAGGGATGCAGGAGGCAAATGCAGAAGCACTGGGGCTTTCCCTGAGGGCATAACAGAGCCCCAGGCCAGTGCTGGGGGGATGCGCAAGGATCCCCCTTCCCAAGGGCTCCCAACGGGACAGGGGAGGTGGGCTGAGGGGGCTCCCCGGGAGGGGAACACCCCGGCAGGCAGCACAGGGTGAGCCCCAGGGTGCTGAGCTGTGGGGCAGGGGGTGCATGAGGCCTGAGGTGGGGGGCACAGCGTGGGGAGGAGGGGTTCCCACAGCACCATAGGGGGGAACATGGAACCGCCCCCCCCCATAATGGGCAGTGGGATGGAACAGGGTGGATCCCACACCACCGCAACAGATGGGGAAGGGAGAGGGAGACCACCCACCCCGCTGCAACCAGGTCTGGGGGAGGGAACCCCACCTTAAGGGGGGGGGACGGCTTCTGCACCACGA